GAGCAGCAGTGCCCGGCTGGAAAAGTATCCGGGAGGTCAGCGTCGGGGGGGTGGGAAGCCAGGCAGAGGGAGGACAGAATCGGGTGCAGGTGGGCAGTGTGCTGCTGGGGCGGGCGGGAGGGCAGGAGGCAGCCTGCGGCTGGAAGCGCAGACACCGGGCAGCCCCTCGCAGCCCACGCGGACAACAGGCTCTGTCCCGTCTGATCGCTGAAGTGTGCCGCGGTGAAGCGACCCGCTCCCGGGCCCAGGGGTGGGTCGGAGTGATTTCTGAGCCGTAATGAGAGGGAATGGAGCTGCTTGTGGCCTCGCAGCAATGCACGTGGCGCAGATTTACACTTGGTGACACCTGATGCATTTTGAGGCACCAATAAAGTTCTTCTGTACAGAGCCCAAGTATTTTAAACTTCCCCTGGCTCTGGAATCGGTTCATCTCCCCCTGCCTAACAAAAGTGTGTGTAGGTGCTGCAGTTTGGGGTCAGAGAAGCCTGGGCGTTGCCAGAACACAGCCAAGCCCGGGCAGCTGCTGGTGGTGGCCTGCCCTTGCATCAGAAAGGGCGCGCAGCACCCACCTCCCTTCGCACTGTCCCCAGCTCGCCAGGACGGTGGGACCCGTGGTTGCAGTTCAGCTTGTGGGGAGCAGTCGGCTGGTGCAGCGGGGGACACTGGGATTCGCTAGGTCAACCGTACAGCAAGAGCTGCTGCAGATGTCCCCAGGGGCAGCTGCTGCACGGGGCTGGCGCCGCCAGCTTCTGCGAGAAAGCTGAAGGCAGGTAAAGTAGTTTGAAAGGGGACTCTCCAGCCTCCTGCCCGCACCTTACCTGTTCTCGCTCGCGCGTCTGAAATCTTACTGGCTTTCTCTGACATGTGACTTGCCCAGTGTGAGTATTTGATGATGAGACACCATGCAGAGTTGGCTATGAATGTTTATTGACATCGCATGGAAAGCCGTACTCCAGAGAAGACAGACGCGAGGCCATGGTCACGCCCACAGAGTCCGAGGAAACCACAGGCCTTTTAGAGTTCTCCTTCGAGCAGCCGAGTGTCTGACGTTCCTCTTACGTAGGAGAAAAACTTAAGATCATCTCAAGTTTCAACACATTGTTAATGAATTAACGGAACCATCCAAAATACTAAAACAACTTAAGCTTAGTTAGTGCTATTCTTGATCGGGAGTGACTGTAAAGAGGCCAAAGACGACCTCCTGGTTTTGACCGAAAGCAGATCTTTATGATGTAGCACGCTGACACCTTCCAGCAGTGGCTAGAACGCCAGCCCTTCCCCACTCCAGCACCTGCGCAGGTTATGCCTTATTTACTCCAACACCAATAAGCTAAATTCAAACCGTATGCACAGACCAGTCATTCGTACAAGCACAGTCAAGGGTATCACAGTAAGAGGAGGTCACGGTCGCTACAGAGACCTTTAAAAAGCCTCAGCAAAAGAGCAGCATCAAATACAGCGACAGGAAGAGCACGGAAGTGTCTGCCAGGTGCGAGGGTGGAGACGACAGCGATCACCTGGATAACCAGAGATGCATCTTTTCCAGGTGAACCTCCAGAGCGCAGCAGTGTGGTCTGAGAAGAGGCACGAGGATGGAAGAGGAGACTAGCGCTCAGCCCGGCAGCAGCATTTTCTCCTGCTTAATTCTTCCTTTGGTTCTGGAAAACTTCTGTTGGCACGCTCACTCACCCACCGAACAGGGCACCAGGCTGACAGAGTAAGGACTTAAATACCCTGCTACTATTGTCAAGGTTTTAAAACTAAAGACAAGAAGTAATACTGTAAGTTGAGGCAAGTTTTATTTAGACTGTACAAACAGGGCACTGGGAAAAAAAAAAAACAAAACAGTGGCTTGATGTTGGGACCAGTTCTATGAAGTAAGTGGAGTAAGAAAACAAAAAGGCACTAATCTTAAGAAAAGACACTCCATATATTCTAAGAATATAATTCATTTAATACTGTTAATCTTATAGCACAAAAAATAAAACCAGCTATGATCCCCAAAATAAACTTTAAAAGCTTACACTTAATATTATTGCCTGAAGATCATGGTCTTTAAATTACATATTGTGGTTTAAAGTTTACACAGTGAAGACTGTCTCAAATGCAAGGCCACCTTTCCCACTGCAGTAATTGTATCCTTGTCCCAAAACACACGTTCACTGAACACAAGTAAACAGAAAAGGACAGCTATACAAGAATGCTTCACTGGTCCCACAAGGCAGTCTTTTAGGCAGGTCTCACTTTCAAATGCAGGTATTGAGGAAAATGCTTGAAAACTTGACTAGAAAACAAAGGCAGCCCACTCGTTCCCAGGATGTTAATACAATATAAAAAAATTACTTTACAGGCACATGAAATGGCACAAAGAATGCTGTTTTTCCCTTTACAAAAATAATGCTCAGGCTCTTCAGAGCCCCAACCCAAACAGGATATTCCCTTTTGTTTATTCTTTCCCAATTTGTAAACAATCATGAATTAAATTAGCGCTTATCCAGTGATGGACACTGATTAAAACAGTTTTCATTTAAACTCTCAGACCGGTCAGAGGCTTCACCGTCTATACACGCAGGTACACGACAGGAGGAAGTCGAACAGTAAGCCTTTTGCAACAGTTAACTGTTGTGGCACCAGGTCGTTGCACCAGCTCCTAGTTCAAAAGCAAGAACAACTTCAGTGGTGCTCGGGCTGAAGCCATCACTTGCAGGCTCTCATGCCTCATGTGAAGTGTACCCTACACACCCGAGGAACGTTTACACTGATAGGTTATCACTCGAATTTGAGAGGCTTCAGAAAGCAACAGACAGCACACGTGTAAGCAAGCAACAAGCGACTGAGAATCCAGAGTCCTTCAAAGAGAAACACAAACTGATCGAGTGCAGTCTTTATATGAAAATACTTGTCTTATAGTAAAATAGCAAAGACACATTTTGAAGCAAGATTACAATCAGCTTAGGCTGGTCAGTACGCTACATTTAAACCACATTTAACATACCTGAACCACACTGCTGCTACTCAGAGAAACGCTGCTCATCCGTGGCCTAAAACCAGGTTCACAGAAATTTACAAATTCTTGTCTCAGCATCAGATGCCACTACCCACATATTTTGCATAGTTTTGAAGGTAAAATACTTTGCTTTTCTGCAGTATCAGAACATAATTAAACCTAAAACAATGCTTGTGTTCCATGTGTATACCTTGTTCAGTAAGGGGATGAGTCAAGACGTTTATTTCAGTGAAAAAAAAAATCCAGGTTAAAAGCTGTGTTTGAGATCTCAAATATCACAGTATTTATTTACCACGCAAAGGAAGAATTCTATGATCAGTCTTCTGAAGAGCTGCCTGTAACTAGGTCAGGTCTGAAATAAGATTTCTCTGCAGCAGATTGAGTTTAGTGCAGTTTCTGTATTCAAAAGATGACTTTCAGTAGTACAATCTATGTAGTAAACTTACAGGTATAGTTGGGGCACAGAAAAAGCATGACCTCCTTTAGTTAAGAGAGCTGCATAGCTTTTCTTTGCAAGACAGAATGTCAATGCCTATTGTCAAGAATTACTCTTACAGCACCAAACACTTCAGTCAATGCTACTCTACTTCACAGTTAATTTGGTTCTAAAAATGCTCTACAAGAACTTCTAGACAGTCAGCCACTTGATCAACACTACAGCAAATAGCTAACAGATGAACGGAGAGAATTCCTTAAACCCGGCATTTTGAATGTCTTGTTGCAAATGCCACGTTTGCATTTCTTCAGTGCCGCTCAATTAAGGATCTCGCGGCACTTTCACGTGAGCTAGGAACAACATGCTTTTATTGGGATTGAGCGACACAAATCAACAAGAAAACGTGCTGGAACTTAAGACAACAACTTGATGTAATTTGACATTTGTAAGAGATTCTGCGGGCGTCTGAAGTGTCTCATTTCGCTACAACTGACAGCCTTCAAAACTCGAAAAGTGGGGGCTGCTCTTCTCCTGTCAGCTTCCAACAACAGACACTTTTCTTTAAGCAGGCTGGCTGGAAAGGGAGGTTGTGTAGTTGCAGTCTTTGCAGACGCGCATTCTGTTAATTCAGTGTTCCATTATTTTTAAGAGAGCATTCCAGTTCACCTACAAACACATTTCAGGAAGGTGGCCCAGGATACCTCTGCACCTAAGCTTTCATGTCCTGTACACAGGCTAAGGACCTGCATGGCACAAACTGTACTTACTTGGCTGCAGCCATACAGCTCCCTACTGAAGTACAATTACAGCAGTGTAGCTTATGTACAGAAAAAGAAAGAAGCTCCACTGGTAACAGACACCTTTGTGGCCTCCTCCAGCCTGAGCATTAATTTATCCCATGGGGGAACCCAGGCAGCTGACTCCAATTAACCATTTTCTGGAGGATGCTGGGAGGGATCTGGGGCATATATAAACCAGAGCCAACTCACTTGGAAGGGTAAAGAAAACAAAGATGGCAGCATGCAGAAGACTTGGGAGGCAAGCAAGGAAAAAGAAGGAGGAAAAAAAAATATGATGAAAGGAGCTCTGGAAGAAAAGTACAGCAACATGGAGACAGCCGAGAGAAAAAGGTACTGTGTTTGAAAAGGAGCTTTCAATAAGCTGGGGCTGGCGTAGCTAGGAAACTTTGGAGAGAGAACGGGGCCTGCAGAGAAATGGGTATAAAAGGTGTATGTTTAAATAAGAGGGTTTTAACAGTATTAACCAAGCTCTTCTGTCCCACTCCTCTCCTACTTCTCCACACCATGGCAGTCTGATGAATCTGTCTACCAAGTAACAGCTTGGTGACAAGCACTCCCATACTAGTAAAACTACACTTTCAACACAGCAGAAGAGCTGTATGTAGACCAGGCCAAAGTGTTTCCCTTTAAAGCTCGCTTTCTACAGTTAGTCCTTGCAAAAATCAACAGAAATGCATTAAGTATGTCAAAAACAGGTTACAAGTATCAACCCCTCCTAAAGTTTCCTTATAAATAAATGCCTCAGCTTCAATGCAGCTCAATCAATGGTTATTTGCATTTAACACACACTGTTTCAGGAAGGTCAACAAGCTTAAGAGTTAACAGAAAAGAGCAGCTTCTAATACAACTGCTTAGAATACATAAGCTTCAATTATTGTCCTTTAAAGAGACCATAATTTTAAATGTACTACCTTAGGACAGGTTCTCTTAAAACTAAGTCTTCTTCAGTCCTAAAATTGCATTTTTGTTGTTGCTTTTTCTTGGACAGTAATGCACAAGTTGCATGTTTGATCTAAGATTAGGGCTCTTCCTACTGAGCAAGCCAGAAAAAGTCCATGGAAGTCTCAAGAGGAAAGGTTTTCTTCCCGTACTTCTCTGCTATATACTGGTTCAGTCTTCTCCAGCTTAAGGCCCAATAGTTTTAAATGTGAAACTAAATTCTGGATGACAGAACTATGGTATGAAGGTCAGGCAGTGACTTCAGTCACATGTATTCCAAATGTACATTAAAAGAACCATCAAACTGCAGCAAGCTGGAAAATGGGCAATGCTAGCAATGTGCCATTAAGTCATCATTCCACCTCAAACAATCCTAATGATAGCCAGGAAAATGAAGCAGCAGTGTAAATCGGGCAGAGGGAATCATTCGTTCTCATCTGGGTTTTGAGGGTCAAATATTTTGACATGTGTGAATGGGAAGAGCCCTTTTCGACCATTGACTTCTCCTTCCCACTGACCGTTTATATTCATCCTTGTAACCTTCACAATATCTCCAACCTGCATAATTAAAAACAAAACAAAAGAAAAAGGTTATCGCACATGGGAATCTCACTCTGATACAAATACAAATCAAATGAAGAGGAACAACAAATACAAGTCCATCATAAGGAAAAAAAAACCCACCCTCTTGGCATAAAATTCAATTGGAAAGAAGTTACTTTTTACTTCACAGTCATACCAGCATTTTGCTGCTAAACATGATAATGTTGTCTGCACTCTTTTTCAGACTCTTCACTAAATGTACACTTATGTATTCAGAAAAATTGCTGAACTCCACCTTTTCCTACATGAAAACTTCAACTTCATGCAACAGTATGTGTAGCTTAGATATAAATTCACATCGCTAATGCATTGTCCATTCAAAAGAGCACAGTACTCATACTGGTTTTAGCATCAGCTGGCTTACTCCAGAGGAAATTTAGTTTTTCAAAGAGATTCCTACAGCAAAGAAACCATTACTTGAAGTTCTATTTCTGGTTATCACAGTTTAAGAAGCTTCTGTAGTTTCTAAAATAATAGTACACTTCTGAAGCAGGCAAAAGCAATCTTAAACTTTTTTTTTAAAAAAAGTATTAGATGTACAGCTTCTAGCTTTATTTGTTGTTTTCACCTCTACTTCCTGCCAAAGCATTTGAAACAGGAACGATGACATGTCAGGCCTTTCCTACCATAACTGTGTCTCTTCCTATTTGGCAGTGAAAGGTGAGAAAAAGCTAAACTACGATCAAGCAACAAACATCAGCCCAAACGATGATAAGTTATAGTCTTATCCTTGTTCAATGCTTGCACTTGATTTGGATTAGGTTAATTTACAAAGCAAAATATCCAATGTGACAAGCAGCATTTAAAACGAGCTAAACAGTCATTTCTCCCTTAAATGCTTCAGAATAGCTGAACATGTGGTCTGTTGCAGCAGCTCTCTAACTTTACACCTCCCTTCCTGTTTACTTCATTTACTCTTATGTGGTAACTATAGTAAATATTAGAAAAGTGACATTAGCAGCTAATAACTAATTTCACAAAAAGCAGAACCAGCCTCTGACCAATGGCAAACAGTTGGCAAGTTTCTTCCCTAGACTAGGTCCAAGTTCTTTGTAGCTGAGTCTCAGCTTACCAGACTACTTCTGTGAAATCCAAAGGTAACTAGCTTTGACCTTCTTATTTAAGGAAAAACTAGATTTTAGTCCTTATGCAGTATGTATAAGGATTTGTCTGCATTCTCTAAATAGTATTAAAATTCAGAACTGATGCAAATAGTTTAAGGCCTTTGGCCAAGGGCCTTAGCTTAAAACTTTTCAGGTAAGACCTATATACTTTCTGTTAAAGAAAACCCCCTGAGTTTACAAAATAGCGTGCATGTCACTAGATGATCCGAAGCCTGTTTAAACCATTAGCATTACTCCAATAGGTATATTTTTAAGATCACTCAGAAGCAAGAACCCTTAAGTGAAAGTTTAAAATACTGTAATAAACTCCTTGGCAGTCACTCAGTGTTGTAGCTCTTAAAATAAGATTTCTCAAACTGTGAAACTCTTTAGAGATTTAAGCTTTATGTTGCACATTAGAATGAAATTAGACATTTAAGCAAAACATGTTGTTCCACTCCCCCTACTTTTTCTCCACTACTTGGGTTGCCTGTGTCACATCTGCCACCCCCCCACCCCCAAAAAAATTTGAGACTGTCACATTTGGAACAATTGTACTCTTGTGCTTTTAGGAGAGGAGAAAACCCTCTGAACTCCTGTAAGTTCTTGGGATAGAACTGAGACCATGTTACTTTCTTAAATGGACAGCTTTACTTGTGCTCCTCCTGAACTCAAACACAAAGACAGCATATACTTAATAATTAAGTAGCTATACACTGCCTATGACAGCTAGCACATACATATAGCATTTATTTGACTGGTTCTCCTCTCTTAATGGACTACTGCCACATGCTTTAATTGTGTATTTGCTAAAAAGCACAATTTGTCAGACTTTTCGCTGTGTAGAAAGGCTACAGAAAGCTTTAAATAGTAACAAGATGACCTAAACAGGAACCTAACAAATGTCTCTTTAGGAAAAGGCTGATAACATCTATAAATACTCAGTGTTACATTGCTAGATTTAAATAACCCTTGAAGACAGATCCAAGTTCCAAGTTTTAGACCTAAATGCAGGAAGATGCAGCCAACATCATAACAGCTAAAACCTAGTAAGAAACTGCATTTGCAGCACACCATAAAACCAATCCACTCTAAAACACTTCAATTGTATTCATGGAAGAAAGAAAAAAAAAGTCTGTAGCACACTGAGCAAAAGCATGGACCTGCATTTTCTGGGAGTGACAACTTAATTCTGTAGAGATCAACCTCTTATTCATTTTGAAGCTCTAGAAAAAGATATACTTCAATTTGACTCTGAATTATTTCTACAACATGAATAGATTTGGAAGTCTTGCTTCAGCTGAGTGGAAAAAAATATTTAAAATTAACTCTATTGCATCACAACACACTGTCATGTAGATTAACAATGCAAACTGTTCTTTAGCTTGCTAGGTGGGCAAAGTTGCTACAAATTAAGATTAAATGAAACAGCATGTTGACACAAGGATTTTGAAGAAGGAACCTTGATGTCATGATAGAATAATTCATGGATCTTATGTTAAAGACCTCTGTTTTGATAATGTCTAGAAGAATCTGGTCAAGTAGTCCCTCTGTGTAATTTTGCCCCAAAGTACTAACTAGAAGCAGTATTTGTAAATGCTTTTTAAAGCATCTATAATATGGTCAGCTGAGGTGTAATCTCCCACTAAAATTATTTAGCACACTATTTTTTTCAGAGAACGTTCTAAGCCAGTCAGAAGGATTGTCTTATGATTAGGCACAGGACAGAGTCAGGAGACCTGGTTCTATTCTCATCTCTGCCACAAACTTCCTGTATGGCTCTGGACAGCTCACGGCCCTTATCTATAAATTAGGATAATACTTCCTTAGTCTCAGCATCTCTCCGATAAGGTAATTCACTTGTAAAGCATGCCAGCATTGCCGGATGGAAGTATCAACTGCTGAAATGAGTAATGCTTCTGAAATGCAGCCATTTGGTTCCACCCAAATGATAAAAATCAAAACGTATTTCAGATAGCATCCTTTCATTTTGTCCCTGTTACAGCATGAATTCAAAGCCCTGGGGAAACACAAGCTGTGGAACATGCCAGTCACAAAGGTTACTTCATTCACTCTAGACTCTTCCATACCTGTCTTCCATTTGAAGCTGATTCATACACTGCAAAAGGTTTCCTGCATGCCATTTTAGTCACACAGTCAACCAATTCAATGTGTTTTACGGATATTCCAAGTTATATGTTAACAGTTCTATGGCTGATAGAGTTCTGTAATCTAAGTTTAAGGAGATAAAAATGCATTAAAACTCTAAATCATCATTTGAGCCCACTGGGTCAATAGCTACAGAAAACATACCACTCTGGAATGTAAAGGGTACTGAATCTCAGTCACTATCCTAAGTAGTGTCACAACTCACCTGCTCTGGTAACACTAGCGATCGTACCAAAACTGAAGTTGTTCGGACCAGCTGCCTGTTCTGGAGAAGACTAAACAAGGCTCAACACTAAGAAATTACTTAAAATCTCACTGTCCCCAAAAGGTATAAAGCTGAGCTACACAAGGGTCAGAGTTCAGTCCCACTGTGAACAGGACAAAGTGACTCTGAAGTAGCTGGTGCTTTATGTACTGGAAGATTCAAAAAACCAACAGGCTGAAAGCACACCTTAATTGTCCTTCACTTCTGATGCTGTGTGCCAGAAGAATAGCTGGTGCCCAAACCACAGAATCAAGTAGTTCAGAAGAAAGACCTTCAACCATTCTTCAGACATAAATGCAGGTCAAAGGGCAGCACAGAATGTTGGAGTCCTAGATGCAATTAATCCAGCCTCATCTAGGAACAGAGTAGAACAACAGAAGTTTGCAGTTCAGGCATAGCTAGGACGATTGCCAGAGTTGGGGCTCCAGCACCAGATAAAGTGATGCTTTTCATTAAATGATGGTAGCCTGTCTCCATCTGATTCAGCCAGCTGTCATGCTCGTATAGAATTTGGAGAGCTCAAACCTCCCATAGATCATCATTCTCGAGCCACAGTGAGTCTCACTGTAGCACAGGATCCTCTCCAGTGTATCCACGTCGCTTTCAGTTTCATCTGAAAACAAACTGCAAAGGGTTCTGAGGTGAATGTGTATTAAATTGTGAGGCACTCAGCACTATGATGATGGAAACCATCAATAACTCTGACTGGAAAAGTTACAAAGATTAAGGTTGCCCACAATCTCTGAAGTAATTGTCAGTTCTGTTTTCAAAGGTAGCATACTGAAAAGTTGGTGCATGTCAGCACAGACACAGGAATCCTGCTGCCAGTGTCACTTTCAATTCAATAGTTATCAGAACTAAAGCTCGCCAATCAACACTTCACACTACACCAATATGGGCTCAACACTTCACTTAAAATCTAGAGCTTGTGGATTAGATGCGTTTTAATGTTTAACACAGCAATGCTAAGTTTCCTTGGCTTAAGCAAAGCACAATGCTTGTTGTCTAGTGAAAGAATAGCCTAATTTCCTAATTAAGAAAGTTCTACTACTAGCACATTTTGGCCTACTTATTTCAACTTTCCTTTGAAAAGGAAAAAAGTTAACTGTAACCTAATTGTAACAAGCTCAAGAGAAATACTGTAAGTCAGTTATATAATTATGGTGAATGGATATTTATTTTGCCTAAACATTTCAGTGACAGGTTAACTCTGTACTAGCAAACATGAACAGATAAACTACTTAGTACTGTAATGCTGGCACAGGTCTAGAAAAAGCCATCATTAGTATTAAAACTTTGCTATAAAAATAGTGAAGCTCTTGTTTAAAAAAAATCCAACAACAAAACATCAACCTTCCATTCCATTACGCTGCCACATTAAGTCTGGAGATGAACTCTAGGACTCCTGCTGCCTTCAAAAATGTCTATGCTATGACACTTATTACTTTGTTTGCAATATATTTAAGAACCATTTTTTAAACACATGGCAGACATAAATCTAGTGGCTGCTGCTGGTCTCCCATTTTTGTTCCTTGTGCCATTTCATTCCATTTTATAAGCGAATTTGGAATTTGTTGTTCACGCCCTGAATCAACCTTCAAACGGTTCACTAATTTTTAAGGGAATTATCCACCATTAGTTTATCTACTGACTATGCTGGACATAAAAGAACTTTGTTGTGTAAAGTCAGTGATCGATCGACTACTTGGATCCAAACAGGAGGAACCCAACTACTAAGAGATAAGCTCCTTTAAGCTAAAACATACCAGGTCTTAATCTACTGGGCACTGCATACACCTCATGTGCTGGTTAGAGCAGGCCAATTTAAAACAAGGTTTCATTAGCATATTATTGTTAACAGGCTGGCTGTAGAACTGCAGGTTATTAAATGCTGGGAAACTTTAAAGTAGACTTCGCTGCCCTGTGTCATAGTAACAGTGTCAAAGAATCTCTGCTGTTACAAAATTCACCACCTTCTTAAAGTGCTGTCCTGTATAACCTTTGAACACAGGACTGCCCTCCTAGTTTTCCCAAAGAAAAGCAGCATTGAAGCACAGCAGTGCATGACCCTGTCATGTAGAGTTCTAGTCCCAATAAATACAGGACACTGTATCCCTGTCCTTCATATTGCTTCCTCTAGAACACCAGAAAGGAAGGAAACTGCTTCTTAGCTAAAAGCACGCAAGTAAAGAAACAGATCTGGGTTGCTGGTTGGGTGTTTTTGTGGTGTTTGTGGTGGTTTTTTTAGTGCAGTATCCATGAAAATACTACGCACTTGAGTAGTAAAGTTAGTTAGTTGTAGTGAGAACTTAAGATTTAATGTTTAATTAAATGACTGAACTGGCAAGGTAACTAACTCAACTGACCACAGTATATGTAAATCTTAGAAACAGGTACAATTTATCATAGGCTTTACTGACTGTCTGCTAGTACAGCGAGATACCCAAAGTTACACATACACCAACTGTACACTTTGAGATAGTAGCTATACTTAAAACTTTTATTTTAGCCTATAAACAGATTACTTTTTTTATTTTTTAGACTAAAAGTAGAGTACATAATGCAGTAAGACCAAGTCAACCTTTAGACATTAGTCACTTCAATAATATCAATATGAATGCTACACAATTTCAGCCCAACAAGGTCCAAATTGTAATAAATGTCAGATTAACTAGTATCCTTCCAGGAACAACACTGTAGTTGCCCTTAAACTGTCACACTTTAAATACTACTTAAAAGTTAAACACTCCATCATTATCCAACCAAACAGATCTTGCTTTAGATTTTCAGCAGAATATTAATTTTTTACAAGTTACATTTTTCATGTGATAAATTAAAAAAAAAAACAACAACAACAAAAAAACCTTCCTTACAGAACAAACTTCTCTGTAACAGGCTATGAATTGCTATCTTTTCTTGAAGAAAACTTCTGATTTATGTACACTTACATAAACAATAGTGTACAATAGAAAAACTAGACTTGCAAGCGGAGAGTTTGTCCCATTTTCAAGCTGAACCCAGAAGAATGACATCCCTCCACTTAAAAGGAAGTCGAGCAGATTACTACGCAATAGCTTTATTTACTCCAGATGGTATTCTCTTCCTTTTTAAGTACTGTCTGTGTGCTGACCACACAAAGCTAGAGCCAGCAAACAGATATTTTGCTCTCATATTGTTTTATCAGTTTAAATGAGATTACACAATCAGGCACTGTGTAACTATACTAACAAGGTGTTCTACTTGTACAAGCTGAACTACAATTTAGAGTACACCTATACTAAGGTGGAGTACTGTCGAATACTATCATTCTTAAAGAACACCATTAACTTCCTTTCCCCAAACATTACCATAACCTGTTCTTTCTCTACCACTAGCTTTCAGTGCTCTTACAAAATAGAAGCTCCAAATGGTCCAGATTATTTAGTGACAAGATTGGGATTAAATACATCCTCAGGACCCAGCAGGTGTTAGGCAAGCTGAAGGAAGATCATGAAAAGAGATTGGATTTTTTTCTTTAATAGTACATGTGACAAAAAAATATCGCTACAATGAGGTTGCTAAAGTTCCCTATGCATGGATAGATACGGAGAAGCTGCAATCACTGAATTTAATGAAAACGTAGATCAGTTCCCAGAATTCTGCTTCTGAAGCCTCTTGAGAAGCCACAGTGTGGCTAAGGTGCACTTGCAAACAAGACACAGGATGACAAAATATGCCAGTGGTGGGAGACCCAAAGACATGAGGCAGTAAGTGATCAGAATTCAGTGGAAGAGAAGAATACCTCAAACAAACTTCAGCAATTTGAAGGTTCAGAATAAGTCAAACCTACATGTTGGTCAGAGAACTAATCCTACTGGTATACAAGAGTAGCTAAAATGACAGGATTAACTAGGCCACTAAAGAGCAAGTCAGGAAAACCTATTTGTGAGGGCCATCCTTCCCAGCGGTTCTGCTACAGTGCAGCAAAGTTAGTTCCCTGAAGTAATTCCATGACACACTGACAACATAACGATCACCTGCATTGCTTTGTTTTCAGAAGCATGAGTAGTTTTGGCAGGAATCTTCTGTATGGTGCAGCTGGCAGTGAATTCACACTTTGCTCTATGATTATTTTCACACACTGTTCACAAATAACAAGCTACTAGACTTCATAAGACTCAAGGAAAATCCAGTGATACATATTTAACTTTTAACCCTATAATCACCTGTAGAGGTTTTACAAATACAAGAGGAAAAACACTCAGGGCAACCATTATGAATAACTGGAATTCACAAATACAACCCTTCAAATTTCAGTCAAAAGTATCAGCTATAGGTAACAGCTTTAACTTGCAAAGTAATGAAGCAAAAGCAACAGGAAAAGTTCAAAAATATTTTTAAAACCACTATTATTTTACTTGCTAAAATGCTGTTGCTTCCTTTGCTCGTTTCCTTGCATTTGCTCCTTGAAGTATTGTAGCACACTGAGATTCCATCTTTAAGACTAGCACTTTTTCCAGGTGAGACATTTTTGAGCTATGGGTTAACTAGCCTTCAGTATAATCTAACTGTTACAGTCTCAATGTTCTGGATATAGCTTTAAAAACTTCTCCCAATCCCTCATTTATGCCAGTTAAACTAGAACTGTAACATGAATTCTTTACCATTTAAAGAATGAAGCTTTAAAGTCCTAAAGACATCCCTAATAGAAATAAAATAAAAAATGCTTTGGCAAGCATAGGAACTTATTAAAGGCTCCACATAAGTTTAGAGGCTACACTACAACCTTTCATCTAACCCCTGCACCTCCCAAGGTCTTAAGGTTTCTCAAAATCTGCTTTTGAAAACCGAAGTAAATGGGACTAAACTACTTCTGACATCTGTCTGCCCAGATTCCAGCTCCCAGCACCAGATACTCAAGTGCATCTCATACCACAGTTGAGAATCAGGAACACTATGTTTATCAGCAACCCTTACCTTTCTCTGAAGGATGCTACTGCCAGGTCTCAACCTGGAATACTGCAATGATTAATGAAACATCTCTTTCCTTCCCCAAGACTAGATGAAGAAGCAAAGTCATCCTCTCCCTAGCACTCACTTCCACAGCAGGACGTACACACTCCACTACCCTTGTAACATATTTGCACTGTTGAACAGGCAAGAAGGGAGGGTAAATACAGGTCCTGAAGTAACTTGGTCACTTTTCTCAAAGGAAGTGGTATAGATGAAGCAATTTTTGTAGATCTTTCTTCAGAATGTAACCGAACTTCTTCTCAGTCCCTTGATATAGATAACCAGACTCCATATGAAATCATCCACACCAACTTTGCCACCAAACAATTTTTAGTCTTATTTTACAAAACAATTGAAAACCCTAAGACTCGAGAGGAAAAACTTACCTCCAATGCCAGCGCAGTCTTGTCATAAGCACAGGGTACTCTCTTTTGGATAGCTTTGGCATAGACTGGTCCATTCTGTGTTGATGGCAGAGGATTGATCACTGCTCCAGGTGTACTGGATACTGAGGGAAGGGGACTTGCGGTTTGAGGCTGAGCATAAGCATGGGCAGGTTCTGGAATACCGTAACTGTTGGAATTCCTGTTTCCATGCTTCCCATGAGAAGATCTGACTAGCTTTTCTACATAAGGAACAGGAATCATCCCAATCCGACCATCCTTGTTTCTGGCGCTCCACCACTGTTCTTCTGGCTTCTCTACAATTACCAGTATCTCGCCCTTTTTAAATGGAAGATCCTCAGCATCATTGCCAGGGAAGTCATAGAGAGTCCGAACATACTCCACATTTTCTTCTGCAGTGGACATAGCAGGGGCAGATCCAGATCCCATTGGTGGACTTGGATACCTAAGTTTAAAAAAGATTTGGTATAAGCAATAGCTATTGGTTTTTGTTTCCAGCAACAAAGCCATGTACCAGTTTTACAGTAAGAACACCGATTAGAAGGTAATTATTTATTCAGCTTTGTCACAAAAGTATTGGCTTGGTAGCACTGTAAGGCATTTAATGAGTAACTAATGCTCTCAAGTAATTACTTAAATACCCAAATTAGCTTCCCCAGAAACCAAATAAAAATCTATCATGGATGCAGAAAATTAGGAGACATAATGCAAATTCTTCATCCACCTGTTCTGGATTGTTGTGAGGATCTTGGGGTAGAATAAAACTCATTCTATAGCTTAAGTTACAAGAGTCACAATACATAAAACCAGAAGAAAATTATTTGGGTGACTTGGGGTGAAGGGGCTCTTGGAGAGCTAAATAATCCTCTTCAGTTCATCACATCCACATTTTTAACTTAGGCATCTGCTTCTAAAAAATTCAGTAACTCTAAATGCTAGGCTTGAGGAAGCGTAGTGGAAAAAGGAAACAAAAGTAACAGGAGGGTATGATAATAATCACTTATAGGTTTGGTTTTGTTTTGTTTTGTTTTTTCCCTAACTCAAAGCTAGAAATGTAATGTTGTCTTTCTGATTGGCAGTGCAGCATCTTTCTAAACAAATCCTACTACTTATATGCAGAATTTTGGAGACAGACAGTCGCATTGACACTGAAAACTTTCTTTAAGAAAAGAGATAGGCAGATCCTATGTTTTTAAGAGACAACACTTTCCCCCTCTTTTCTGGAAAGTAACATGGAATTAATCTTCCTAATCATATTTTTACAACTTCAACTCTCCAAGGGTTGTTACAATACAACAGAAAAATTACTAGTTTCAAAGTACTTATCTTTACTGCATATTTAAATACCTAATAACCTGAAAGTGATATCTTATAAAAGACAATATGAAATACTTGCATCCACTGGTAAGAATGGAGTAAGAAATTAAAGGGCTAACAATCTAGAAACATTCCTTTGCCTTAAGTGTAGTATTACCTTTACTTTATTCACATCATTGTTTATTACTATGCCCATCATCTGTCCAATAGTCACTTCAGCGTCTTTGCTAATATACGATTGTTCATCAAATGAGACTATTTTTACTGCAATCTATTTTCAACATAAATTTTATACGTTTTATTCAAAGCAGTTGTCAGAAATCTTAACGTATATAGGTCATAGCAGATACTTATTATCCAAGCTACGACAGCAAGAATGCATGTCATTAGCCTACTTCAATTCTCTTTTGCTATTTGCAAAAGAAGATGGAAGTCAAATCCCTCTGATTTTTTGCAAGATATGCCAGAAGCCCTAGACAGAAAGATATGTGCTTCTTCAAGACAGCCTGCTGCAGCTAAAGCCCAGGAGAGATGGAGCCCTTTAGAGAGCAGCCACTCTGCATAAGAGCTCAGGAACATCTGTGATGATGGTCAGAGCTCACTATCGACACAAAACAAATAGAAAGCTTAAACCAGTCAGTTTTCAAGTGTTTTACAAGTTTAAAATGTCATCTCTGAGAGCTAATGTTGTATGGCTATATACAACAAACTACTTAATCCTACCACAAAAACCACCTCTTCATACTGTACTTTCTGAAATTAAAAGAATCAACAGCCATCAAAAGCACAAGCACCTGAGTGTGATGTTCCCCGGAAAATGCCAGAGAAATAAGAACTAGCAATAACAGTTCTGAAGCCCATACCTGTCCACCCCTATTGTAAAACTAGTCCATTAACTAAAAATAAATTAAAAAAAAAAAAAAAATCCGGAAATGCTACCTCTCATCATCCCTCTTGCAAGCAGGAAGCCTCCTTCAAACAGAATTTCAAACTATCAACCATGTAATTGATTTTTCTAAAAGAGTTTACAACAAAAATCATGCTAAGGAAAACCACCTGGTTGATCCAATTTGTTGCTTTATAAAAAAGCTTGTCAGTTCACAGTAGGCTACGTCCCATCTGTGGCTGTATGCTGAGAGAACATGCAATCAAAACTTTGAAAATAAGGTGGCACTTAAATGTTCATAAACATTTCACATGAGACTCCTAACAAATACCAAGTGAGCAAGTTGAATCAGCTAAGTTTTCAAGTGTTTTAAGAGAGCCAAGTCAGTCATTGCCATAAATGATTAAGAACAAGTTTTTACATCCAGAAGGCACAACAGTAGCAAGGTTAAGGACAATAGAGATAAACATAAAGCTTGCTTCAGTGTAGAGGTTTTTTTCCTCCCAACTGTCCGCAAGTATAAGCAGGTACATAACACTGGGCAGCTCCATTTAAGCATTCCTTTAAATTTTTTTTTTTTTTTTTTCCCTATCCATCTCTCTAGCCACAGCACAATTGCTACCCAGAAGGCTTCTCAGCAACTTTAAGAGTTCTTGAAGCTAGTGTTTTCTGTCAGATCCCTCCCATCACCTGACAGCTTTACAGAAAAACTTGGTTTGACCACTTGAGTTTTTCAACTTGACAAGCTATTGTCAACCTTTGACAAGGTACTGACTGTCATTAAGAACTGGCCTATGCCAAGGTTAAATTGCAACTATAAGCTTAGAAGTTATTCTTCCCCGTAAGAACTTGCTAATCTGCAACATACAGCAGAATTTAGAAGCAAACCAATTTGAATTTCTTTTTTTAACATGTCGCTACTTTTCTAGCTTTTATTTCACTTCATTCTAATCAGGAAGCCCAAAAGCTTTGAAGTAAGATACTGGGAAAGGCTTCATTAATTAAAAAAGGAGTATGTTCGAGAGTTGATAAGCAGTTTACTGATGCAAGTTGCAGGTAAGTCCTATGTTGGGAACTGGACAAAGAATGAGCTCATAGCCAAGTCACATTTTCCCATCCTCCTAGGATGGTATTTCTCAGTGCAGTGCATGCAGTATGCAGATATAGATGAACAGTGCCATAACCAACTGTGAGAAATAAATGTTTTACATTTTTTTGGGGGGTGGAAATGCCACTCTAGCAGTCTGGGAAATGCTGTTCTAGAATGCATTAAAGCTGACTTAACAGTGTGAAGCATTCTAATCACATAAAGGCCTGTTCTATTGTAATCTGGTGTGGATGCAGGGGCAGACGGCAACTTAAGCTCAGAGGCTGTACTCCAGTCACTGAGAAGACTTGTGAACTCGCTTCTCAACCATCCTAGGAACAGAAGGACAATACCAGAATAGGTTGACACAAAGCACGACCACACCCTCTTGCAAGGCAATTACAGCCAGTGGTAGAGACATACACAGTACCTTTACATATGCCTACATGCACTGTAAGGACAGGCCCTGTGCATTATATGGATGATTTGACTGAAAGAGCAACCTGTAATGGTCACTGAGATTCAGAGTGCTAAGAAGGCCCACTGTTAGAAACAGCTTCAAACGAGGGCCATAAACAAACGATTCCTTAGTATATGTACCATGGCCCTACATCCAATGCTAAGATCCTGGAGCTACTAGGCTGGACTAAGACACCCCCCCTCCTTGCGCCACCTCGAGCAAAGATGGCAGTGGGTGGGGCGACGGGAGGGTGGCACTCACCTGGGCGCAGGCTCGATGAGGGTGGTGGTGTCCAGGTAGTGGATCTTGTAGAACTCCAGCAGGGCGGGCAGGTGCTCAAACTCCTGGTCGCCGATCTTAAAGCGGCGGTTGGGCAAGGAGTTAATGATGTAGTGGGAAACCCGGGAGTTCTCGGACACCGAGAGCACGTAGTCCCCCGGGCAGGTGGACGAGTCCCGCACCAGGAACATGCCGTGCCGCTGCCCTTGCAACCGCGTCTGCGCCTCTGCCCGAGACACCGGGCCCACGTACCAGCTGGAGCGGTCCGACGAATCGAAACGAGCGGCGGAGGACATGGCTCCAGTCGGGGAAGGGGAAGGGAGGGGGGGAAGGAAGGTGAAGAGCCCGAAGGCCCAGGCGGAGGAAGAGACCCGGAGAAGGGAAGGCCTGGGCAAGGAGGCCTGGGAGTGGAGCGGGCTGGGGGCTAGGAGGAAGCGGCTAGTGCCCAGCCCAGAAGATAGGAAGCCCAGGGAAAGGGGGATAAGGGAGAAGGAAGCTCCGTGCCTCTGGAGGCGAAGGACCGAGAAGCGGCTGGG